AGGTCAGCTGATTCATTCCACTATCTTTCAATGAACTGGTCGGTTTTGGCTTTCGAAACCCAAAATCTGATCTTTTTGCGTAAAAAGATGCGCAAGTCTTCTCTAAACATCTACCGTCTCTTCTTTATTGATTGCATCAGTGACCTGGTTATACACATTACATCTAGTTGGCAAAACGAATAGCACAGGAACTCCATCTCTCTGAGAGGAGTGTATGAAACATTTTTAGGATATATTACCCTGCAGTTGTCCAGTGATATTAGCTGCCGGCATGAACACACTGATGTCAAATTCCTTTGAATATCTGAGTATGCGTTGTTTCATTTTGACAATGAGAAAACCAAAAATCAACGCATGCAGTATTCACTGTAAAACTGTAAACTGTAAAACGGTTTTTCTAAACGCTTTTGTATCGCAGCAGTTACAGTGACTGATCTCTATTACTTCAAGGACATGATTTTAAACCTGAACTCTCGTTGCATTTGCACAAGTATATAATCGTTGATTTAAGCGCCTCTTTGATAGTGTGATTTGAAATTCTGACGCAAACTTTCCGTTTGGAAATCGAAACCCTTAACAGTGAGCTGCACCATTGACGGACGGTTAATAAGTGATTGGTAGTTTGATGTTCGTTAATAGCCCTAATCAAAATTAATCAGCCGTACATATATTTAAAGCTTTTCAGTCATTTTTGTAACTCGTCGACCAAACATGATGATTCAGTTGGTGAAACATTTTATCTGCTGTTGGAGACACTCAAATTACGACTGCTTTTCGACAACGGTCACCTTGTTGACTCATCGATGCTTCGTTGTAAATTCACGTAGGTTTTGCATGAACAATCCAGTTGGTCCGCGTTGCACATGCTTTTTATAGCTGTTCAGATGGCATAATTGTTCAGAATGTGACTTTAAGAGTTTATCGCATATTTTTGTACTCACTTGGGCAAGATGCATTTCGTTGGATCAGTTACAAACTACATACCAATATCTCACACCCAGTTGTTATCTCATTTTCACTGATCATGCAACTGACATGCTTTAACGATGGAATAAAACAAATGCACCAGTTGAGGTTAAAACAAGCACGGTCTCGCCAAATTGAGGATATGCGCTACCATATCTTTGACAAAGTCAAACTGTTCAAGAGAGTATCCAGTTTAACTATTCTACATGCACTCACCAAGTGTTTTTAATTGCCCCACTAAAATTGGATAGTTGTGGAAAATCAACGAATAGTAGTTTGATAAAGTCTACTACTCTTGTTGCAGTAGGCTGTATTACAGTTGAGAAGTTTCCGAGTGTGCTGCTTATCCGGTAAATCTACGCCTCACTGATTGTGCCAAACCAGAGAAAAAAAAAAGGATTCCTTGGGAAGTGAATGACAAAACGAGATAAGTACGGAGAGGGATGATCTTTTGTGCATTTTATAAAAG